ATATTGAATGCCAACAAATTGGCTCAACCAATCCATAAATTGTTACCATATGCCATTAGATTTCACTTACATCATTAACTCTTAGTTCTTCAATGCCGACCCACTTAACAATGAAGAGTGGATATATACTTCGCATTTGATTACAAACCAACCCCTTAACAATAGCTAAGGAAAAAGCTTGGATAGCCCCAACCGCCAATTCACAAACTATATATCCATTTTCGTATTTCTTTCTCTTTTCTGATCAAGAATTCCACGAACTCTTGTGGAAGCACAAATAAAAAATAAAAACTTACTTCAAACGTCCTTTTTTATATATAGAAATTAATTACACTTGTTTATTAAATTTTAAAAAATTACAATTTTCATCTTTAATTAAAAAAATTAAATCTAAAAAAAATCCAGATACCGAATTAATTAAAAATTATTGATTGAAATCGATTTCTCATCCTTTTTTTTTCTTTGATGATAACAAACAATCCATATTTCATGTCTTTTTTTTTTTATTATCAATTAAATTTTAATGTATTTTTTTTTTATCAATGAATGAATGGAACCTTGTAAAGATTTCTTCTTAATACTACGTTTTTCATATGGGTTTTTTTTTTCTTTTGATTTATGAATACATGGAGAATGTTCTCTAGTCTTTGAATTCTTTAACATAGATATTTAATATAGTTTTCTCTTGAACGATATTTAAAATGATACCGGCATTCTAATGCAACGGTAATCAAGCGACCTCCTCAAACGAGGTGGATATTGAAATTTTGAGTTCTTAGAAGAGACGAACGACCAATGAAAAATTTCCATCACCTTGTCAGTGTCTGAAACAGCCCCCTTCTCGTCGACCCAACATACACGTGGCTTTGCTTCTTAAAAACAACGCTGCCTGCCGATGATTGCGCGCCACTTCATGGGCATGCCTTGAAGAGGAAACAAAGTCAAAATGACACCAAAAGTCAACCTAAATGAGCTCGCGACTATTCTCAACCGGTCATTGGAGCCTGTCCGCGACACCTTGTAGTGGCATTGACGTAAAATTCAAAAGGGAACTCCATAAACTACGTGTAATTTTTTAATCAAGTTCTCAGCGAATTTTTTTCCTCGTTAAAAAAGAAGTTTAAAACATTCTCAATAAGATCCTTCCATCAACCGTTATTACTTAATTGTTGAAAACAAGAAAAAAAATATTTGGAGACTTAATTGAAAATCATAACATAATTGAAAGAGTGATTTGAGATTTACTTTACAATTAATTTGAGGCTGATGGTATCTGACACATCAAGAAGCAATATTAAAGAAAGACAAAAACAGAGTAAATAACATAAAATTCTATTTAATAAGATCATATTAGAAAAACTAGAAAAATAATAAAAATTTTAAATCAAGTAGAAAAAAAATTATAAACCAATTATGAGAACACATTAAATATTAAATAGTAACAGCTGAGAGACCTTATCATCTCTAATTCATGCAAAATTTTAATATCATAGAAAATAACGGATATTTAAGTAAATTTTTAGTCCAATCTAATAATTGTATAAAGAATTATGCTTAATTATATAAAATTATATATAAAAAAAATCTTACATTAGTTTTTTATGTTGAAAAGAACTTGTTATCAAATTTAATTTTTTTTTGTTTTAGTCTCGTGGATATCCAATCAAGACTCTCAAACTTATTTTCTTTTTTCTTTTCAAATGTATAACAATTTTACACATCAACTTCAGTCTTTTTATTTAGTATCTCAAAGTCTCTCAAACCTCCTAACAAATTTATAATCCGATCAACAATCAAATAAAAATTATACTTAATAACATGAACTCTAGAATCTCCTAGTAAATTTAAAGTTTTATTTAATAGTCAAATAAAAAATTAAATTTAATAACATAAAATTGAGAATTAAGGAAAAATCACATGTGTGGACACATAAATTTAGAAACCAATTATTTTAAGTGAACACTGATGGAGCGAATTGATTGAACTTTTTGGAACTTCTAAGGACCTCATTGGATTAAGAATTACTTGAAAAATCAATTGAGAGTCTCTACGTAGTTTTGAGACCATTTTGAAGTTTGCCCGATTAAATATGCAAAGGGCACCTTTTCACCTCATTCCCTAGTCACGTGCCCCTCGTAGCTTAACCACGAAAATTGAAATTCTCACTAAAGGAAGGAGTAAAAATCAAACTGGATATATATGGTAACTGAGCTCGCCTGAAAATGCCGCTACCTGTATTTTTCGCCGTATAAATTACATGCACCAGCTCTGGTGACCTTACGTCACCCGCAGTCACGTATCGGGCCCCGCAAAACTAGAGCATCCAATATGCGTTAACGGGTGTGATGTTGACACAAGAACTGTCAGGGCCGTGTGATTGAAAATCCCATTGACGCCATGAACTCCACGACTGCTTTATCACCTACTCACTTAAAGGAGATAAAAGAGAAATTAAAGGGGGTTAACTTCATTTATGCCCACTAACTATATGCGACTTTAATTCGAGCATGTCTGGTAGTTTTGTAAAAGTTGATTTAAAAATAAAATATTTTTTATAAATATATCAAAATAACTCTTTTTTATTTTTATATTAACACATTAAAACACTTTTTTATTTTTATATTAATACATCAAAATAATAAAAATTTAAAATTTAAAAAAATACAATTGAACCATAGTGTAAAACGATAATTATATTCTCTATTATGTTTCAATTTCAATACCATATTTTAAAAATTATTAATTAATTTTTTTTGATTTTTTTTTTTAAATGAGAGTTAAACTCTCATATAAGAGAGTTTAGAACACTTTATATCAACAATATAAAAATAGTTTCAGGTTGAACAACTTGATGCACCAAATTTTCTTTATTAGCAATGATAAAAATGTTTGAAAATACACATGCATATAGATAGCAGGTTTTACGTTCATGTCATGGGAAGCTGATATAAAAGATGTTATGTAACAAAACAAGCATGATGTGGAACAATTGGGAGCAATTTTTAGTTGACAAGTACATGTAATAGAGATAATGAGAACAAAAGTAAATATTCATTGTAATTATAAAAAAAAAATCATGAGAACAAATCACCATGCACTTTTTCACAAATCATTATGCACTAGAATAATAACTTTTTCTAAATTTTAATTTTATCCTAAACTTTTTTTCTCTCGTGATTGCACACCCTTTTAAGTATAAAATGATATCTAATTGCTTCCTTTTAAAATAAAAAAAAATGATAGAATTCAAAAGAGAGGAGTCCAAAGTAAAAATAAAAAAAAACATAAATGGCAACTTCATATTTCTTATAAAAAGTCCAGTATGGTTCTCCATCCTTTTTAATTAATAGGTAACCAATTTTTTTAGCTGTTAAAAATTTAATTTTATTTATTTTTTATAGAAAAAAATTATTATTGAAGCTGGTTTTGATCACAAAAATAATTAATTTTAATATCAATGAGTTTTATTTAATAAAATTTTTTTTATCTAAATATTATTTATCATTGACAAGATAGATCTGCCTCTAAAACTATTTTCAAAATCAAGTTGATTTTTTAAATTTTGAATCATTTTTTAAATTGTTTGATGCTATAAATAAGTTTATTAAAATATTTTATAATAAAATAAATTTTAAACCAAAGAAAAAACCAAGGCCTTGATTTTTTGGCCATCCTTTGGTCATCAAATTTTACAAACATCAGATGATATTTTGTTTGTTTTTTTAACAAAAAAAAACTTATTTTTCTTTTTAAAAATAAAAAAAAAATATAATAATACTAGATAAACAAGCTGAATTTGAAAGCCTGCATATTTGAGTTTTTCATTTTTAGAAGGCCCTACCACGCTGTGCCATGTGACTAGACTTGTTTTTAGTTTTTTATTTTATTAATTTTTTTATTTTATATCCAAGTTAAAAGTAAATTTAATAAAAAGCCACTAAATCAGTAAAATATATAACTTGAATTATAGATTTAATAAATTAACTTTAATATCTATATTAATTTAATATTTTTTAAAAAAAATATGTTAGATTGATTTTTTTTAAGTATTTGATTTATTTTAAATTTATTTTTATAATGTGTTTTTTTTCATGCTAAATTAATTTATTTAAATTTAATTCTTACATGATTGTTATAATCTTATAATAATGATAAAGGATGTAGTTGGTTGACAAGGGCTGAGTGGAGTGGCTTCGGTACGCTAATATTGTTTTTATAAAAAAAAATTATTTTTTAAATTTTTGGTTCTTTTAATTTGTTTATTTTAGTACCATCATTTAGATTTTTTAAAATAAAAATTATTTTTTAATTTTTTATCCCATATTAGATATAAAATAAATTTAAAAAATTAATCAGTTAAATTTTATTGTTCAAATCAAAGATTTAATAAACTAAACCATCAAATATAAGATAATAAAATATATTGTAGGCTCAATTTTTTTAGAAAAAAAATTGATATCAAAAATAATTTTAAATATTTGATTTAACTTGAATGTGTATTTATAATATGTTTTATTTTAAATTTTACATGTTAATTTGATTTATTTTTTATTGAATTTTTTATCAGTTTTATTTTTTAAAATCAAAATCATGTTAGTATGGCTGATTCAATTTATCAGGTTTAACAAGATTGCCAAACAAAATTTCCAGCTGACACTTTTTTATGTTTTAAAAACAAAATGGTTCGATACATACGACTCATGGATTAGTAAGTGCCGTTATTTATCTGTAATTATATTTAAATTAATATAAATAATCAAAATGGATTCTCATCTTTGTATTTAACTTGATTTTTCAGGTTTAGTTTTATATTTAATTTAAATCTAATATCCTCCTATAATATCGTATTAGAGAGAACTAACTATAACATAATCTTTCTCTATGCCCACACAAGTTATTAAGATGTAGGCCCAAATTGAAACATTTTGCATAATCGAGGACTATACATGTAGTTTGCCCACATAGATTTTTATAATACCTGCAGACACTTGCATCACTCTCACTCTCCCACTCTCTGCTACTTTCCTCTTTCTCCATCTGAAAAGGAAGAAGAAGACAGTGCAAGAATGTGGAAAGCGGTTAAACACTAGAGAAAGAGAGCGACTGGCTAAAAAAGAAGAAAGAAAATTTTGAAAGCTAATATAATGCAGAGATTTGCATTCCTACTATGGACTCTTCTTTTTTGCTTAGCTTTCTCTACTTGTATAGCTAGACAAGGTAAGAAGCTTTCTCTGCTGAACTTAATTGGCTCTTTTTTTGTTTTGTTTCAGTTCATGCTGTAAAGATTGATTCTTCTTTGTTAGGGATTTGGATTGTTGATTTGTGAAGTGAATTTCGTGTTCTTGTGATAGGTGTTGATGATTATGAACTGTTTTCTGGTTTTTAAGTTTCTTGCTTCTGATTAAGAGGAGTTGTTGCAGTTTTGTTGGTTTTTAGTTTTTTATTTTAGCGTTTGGATAGAGGAGCAGAATGGGAAAACCGTGTGTGTGTTTTTTTTTGTTATTGAAATCTATGGTTATGGATACGGAGCGGGTGTGATTTGGATCTGTTTGATTGTTGAGTATGTGTAGGAAAAGAGAGGAAGAAGGAAGTTTTACGTTTGGAGTTTTTTCTTTGTTATGTATTTGTTGAGAAAGCAAGAATATTTGACTAAATTGGGACTTGTACAGCTATTTGGTTTAGTTATTCTTGATTCAATATTTTACTGGGAGACAAGAACATGAAACATAGAGTAATTTTATGGTGCTCATGTGGTAACTAGTGGCATCCTGCCCACTTTAATGAAAGAGATGAATACAAGTAGAGCAAAGAAATTCTAGGTGTATATATTCTTGTAATTTTTCGTGGGTTATGAATTTTATTTTCCCTTTTTTCTTGTGTCCATCTCTTTCTTTAAGTGGGTCAGTTAGTAACTAATAGGATGACAATAGTTACTCTCCCTCAACACATAAAATTTTCCATGAAACATACTATACTATGATGTATATGGAAAATTGAAATGGCAAGAGAGAGAATTCTTTCTTTCTTTATTTGTTGATTGATTCTGTAGTTTTATTTGGATGGTTGATCATTTCTGTAATATTGTCCAGTAGACCGGGCCATTAGATTCTAGAGCAGAAACTATTGATAGATTGTCATTTGCTTAGTATTAGCTTGCACAGTGAAAATGTGTGTAGCCTGTTGGGTGCTAATTCACTTTTGAAACTAGACATTGAAGTAACAAGGAATATCTGGTTAGATATTTGCACAACTTGAATCATCTAACAAATGTGAGTTCATTCTTGTATGCTTCAATGAAGTGCTAGAGGCTAGAGCAATGACTATGTTTGCTTTGACATTATATGATCCATTCTTCTTTTTTCAGTGTTACTTAATAGATTTCTAATCTTCCTACAGCACCTTGGGTTATGCGCATAAGTTGTGGAGCTCGCTTGAATGTTCATACAGCACCAACCAATACACTTTGGTATAAGGATTTTGCATATACAGGAGGGATTCCAGCAAACGCAACACGCCCAAGTTACATCAGTCCTCCACTAAAAACTCTTCGCTATTTCCCCCTATCATCAGGTCCCAACAATTGCTACAATATTAATAGAGTGCCAAAGGGGCATTATACTGTTAGGGTCTTCTTTGGACTAGATGGACATCGTAATTTTGATAATGAACCATTATTTGACATTTCCATTGAAGGCACCCAAATTTATTCTTTGAAATCTGGTTGGACTAACCATGATGACCAAGTATTTACTGAAGCTCTAGTGTTTTTAACGGATGGAACTGCCTCTATCTGTTTCCACAGCACAGGTCATGGAGATCCAGCAATACTTTCCATTGAGATTCTTCAAATGGAAGATAGAGCATACTATTTTGGCCCAGCATGGGTTCAAGGGATAATCCTTAGAACAGCTGCCAGATTGAGCTGTGGTAATGGGAAACCGAAATTTGATGTTGATTATAGTGGGGATCATTGGGGTGGGGATAGATTTTGGAGTCCAATCAAAACTTTTGGCCAGGGATCTGATTTAGCTAGATCTACTGAAAGTGGCATCAAGAAGGCTTCAAATGCACCAAACTATTATCCAGAAGCTCTTTATCAGACAGCCCTGGTTAGCACTGATACTCAACCAGATTTAGCATACACAATGGATGTGGATCCCAATAGAAACTACTCGATTTGGTTACACTTTGCTGAGATTGATTCTTCAGTCACTGCAGCAGGGAAAAGGGTATTTGACATTTTGATTAATGGTGATGTTGCTTTTGAAGATATAGACATTGTCAAAATGAGTGGGGATCGGTATACTGCCCTTGTACTTAACACCACAGTCACTGTTAGTGGAAGAACTCTGACGATTGGTTTGCATCCTAAAAAAGGCAGTCATGCCATAATCAATGCTGTTGAGGTGTTTGAGATTCTTACAGCTGAGTCCAAAACTGTATTGGAAGAAGGTGCATATATCATCTCATTCTTAATAAAATTCCTGTTTATTTCTATTCAAGGAATAAATAGGGCACACTAGAATGAGGCTTGCTACAAGCATATACCCCCAAGTTGTTGAAGTTTGCAGAAATTAGAATTCTTTCATTACTTAAAAAAATGCATATAAATACCATATCAAGTAATGTATTATTCAACACAAAGTTAACTTTTGATGGGCATTGATCCTAAGCTAATCACGATTCTACCTATTAAATTGGCACTTCTTTCACTGACCATGTTGCATATAACAAAAAAACAAAAAATGTTGAAGTTTGACGCAATTGAATAGCAACCAAAATCTTCACATGGTTGCATCATGAGGGTTTTGGATCAATTTGTTGTAACCTCTTGTTTGGCCATTATTTAAAATGGGCTCCTAATTACCTTACAAATTGTGTCACGTTGTTGATTTATGTGACATGACGTTGATGTGGACCTTTTTATCTCCTGCTGTTTTGAAGTCTTAGATGTAGTTCTGCAGGTATTTAGAAGAAACTGTTCAAACACATGTTGTGTTGCTATAGATCTGCCATTGATCTTCATTTCGTAAAACACATGTTTTGAAGTTTGTCTTATGGTTCTTTTTACTCAGATTTATTATATAGATAGGAAAAGCAATTCTGCAAAAAGTTCGGAATGTGTAAACTGTTACTAATCTGAATGTTCTTTTTATCAGTTAGAGCTTTACAGTCATTGAAGAGTGCATTGAGCCTTCCTCTTCGGTTTGGGTGGAATGGTGATCCATGTGTTCCCCAAGAACATCCCTGGAATGGAGCAGATTGCCATTTTGACAAGACTAGCAGCAAATGGTTTATCGATGGACTGTACTGTCTCGATCCTTTTCCTCAAATTCATTTTTATTCATTTTTCACTACGATTAATCTGAACCAGATATTGTCTTTTATTGAATCCTTGTTATTCATTCACGCCACTCATTACCTTCTCAGTGCTTTATTCCAGTCAGTCATAAAACTTTTAATTAGTTCAGCATTTTATTGTTAAACAAGAAATCTTTCTGTGGTGCTCATAATACGTTTGCAAAGTTTGTAACCTTGTTCGTGCATTCAAAATCACCACCTTCTTAATGTTCTATCCATACAAAATTGTGCAGAAAATGTTAAATAGTATAGCTTCGCCTTGTTTTTCTTTTTGCTGAAGAAAAATCTCCGGTACTGATAATAAATTTAGAAAGTACTCAATCTTGGCATTGTTCAAAGACATGATGATTGTGCTGTTCGCTTTCTGGTCTTCTAGTTTAATATATATATAAGGGGAAGTTATGTTATCCATACTAAGAGGCTTCCTGAAAAGCATTTCTCATTCTGCATATACTTTCAGGTGAGAAATAAAAGCTCCAAGTAATATACATATCTGTTGACAGACTTTATATTAAGAATTTTACATGAAATAAATATGTTTCATTAAGTTAATTTGGAGATCTACTGCTAATAATACCTTCAATTTTTTCCTATAATTGGCTGATTCACGGGTCACTTCTCCACTTAATTTGACATTAAAATTATTAATTTAATTCTTGTTATCTTAAGATGTCAATATTATCCATCACTTAATATGGATTACTTCTTCATGGTCAGTTCCCTTGACAACCAAGGTTTGAGGGGTTTCTTGCCAAATGACATATCCAGACTACGACATTTGCAGAACATGTAAGTTTCTAGCACTTATGGTCCACTTCTTGCAACTAAAACTCTGACCATCTAATATTTAACTCTCTGCTCTCATCTCTTAATTTGCGCCGACTTTCTACATTTACAGAAACTTGAGTGATAACAGCATCCGGGGAGTTGTTCCACCATCAATTGGAACAATACCTGGCCTGGTAGTACTGTAAGTCTGCTTATCCATTTACCCCATTATTAACTCAGATTTCTACACAAATAAAACTGTTCACTGATGATAATAGTTTCCACCAAAGGAGCTAATGTGAGTGTAAGCGACAGAGACTTGATAAAATATGATTACTATATGATTATCTTGCATTGTCATTAATTTCTTAGAAACAATTTGCTTATAGTAGTTTGTCCATTCAAATCCTTTGTTCCTCCAACCAGCCATATCTCCTGCTTGCTTTAACAACAAATATAACTTTACTTTTTCACTGATTTTGCTTTTGAATTATTTGATAAGATGCAAAATGAGGAAGTTGATGTTTGCTTCATTCAAATTCATAGCAAAGTCCTTGATGCAACTCGCATTTAGCTGGGTTTGATAGAACATAAATATGTAACTTGTGCTGAAGATTTTCCCATAGGAAAAATTAGTTACTGCTAGCACTAACAAATAAAATCAAGTGAATATCCAAGTAGTCAATGTATAATGGAATAACGAACACAAATTTTAACAATAAAAATTATTTAATTGTGGCATAGAAGGACCCCAGCCATAGAGGCAATTCAGCATTCACTGTGCGAATCAACTGGTGGTTCATATTAGTTTGTGCATGCATGGTATCATGGATAACTTGATCTTTCCCCACTAAGTTTGCAGAATGGTAAAGAATTAGAAAGAAAGAAATACTTAATGAAAAAGAAGTAAATATAGTTTCTTGTTGCCTCCTCTTTCCAGTGTTAGCAGAGTCATATTTTGTCAGTAATGTGATACTGTGCTCGAGGAAATGTGCAGTCAGCATAATGTCAATTTGCAACCCTTTTTTTTTAAAATAACTTTGTTTTTAGACAAAAAAGAAAAACAAAAAAAAGGTGATTCTGCTCATGTGGAAATGTGAATCAACTCAATGTTAACTTCTGGGTGAAACACCAGAAGCTGGATGCAAATAGAAGTGCATTTTCCAATCCTAATCATGTGATTTAACTGTACTGTTAAAATGTCTGATCATATCTGTTGCATGCAGTGACCTTTCATACAATTCCTTCAATGGATCAATTCCTGAAAGCCTTGGACAGTTGACATCATTGCGGAGACTGTAAGACTTTTCTTGCAGTTAATTAATCCACGGAAGTATATATTTGAACTACAATTTATGCTGTTATGGTACAGGAATCTCAATGGTAACTCTCTGTCTGGAAGAGTCCCAGCAGCGCTAGGAGGAAGACTTTTGCATGGAGCTAGCTTCAAGTATGCTGCAACAAGTGTTGCTCTTTAATATTGCTGGCTTTGAATGGAATACGTATCATAACATGTTTATGATATGTTGAATATGTTTACTTAGACAATACTTGCATCCTTTGCTTATTTTTATCACAATGAAAAGAAAAAAAAGCCATAACTAAATTTCATTTATAACCATGTCTAAAATGATACTTACTGTAGTTTGTGCAGTTTTACAGATAATGCAGGTCTTTGTGGCATACCTGGGTTGCGTACATGTGGCCCTCACCTTTCTGCTGGTGAGAAAATTGGCATTGCATTTGGTACATCCGTGGCATTCCTTCTAATGGTTATCTGTTCAATGTGTTGGTGGAAAAGACGACAGAATATTCTCCGTGCACAGCAGATTGCAGGTAAAGGTTTTCATGATAAACTCAGATATACATACATGATAGCATAATTTGGTTTCCTAACTTTTATTGATCAGTGATTTTAATGGCAAAGATACATCAAAAAATAAAGTGGCACGCAAAGTTAATTATAGCCTAGATTCTATTCCGTGTGTGTAAGAGAAAAAATAGTGTTGTCTCAGACATGGTTGTGGATGAAGTGCTCGAAAGCACAAATCTGCTTGATTTTCTCCTCTTTGCGAACTTACAGGATGCTTTCTCTTGTTTACAGAAAGAGGTGCCCCATATGCAAAAGCAAGGACGCAATTATCGCATGATATCCAGATGACAAGGCATTATAGTCATGGCAATGCCCGGACAGCTGCTGAGAACGGGCCTAGCTTACTATCATGATACAGTCCATTTTAAACTTTCTCCTCTGCTGGTTTTTGGATTCTGATTAGTTTATTTCTTAACATGAATCCACCCAATTTGATTTGAACTCCCATTCTTGTGGAACTCAGGGTTCTGCAAATTTTCGTTTGATGAAGTTTGGAAAGTGAGAAACACCAATCGAAGATCCTATCCACCTTCAGTGCCACCGAATGTCATATAGAATGAAAAACCATACAAGCTGCTTCAAATCTACAATTTTTTGGCGCAGAACTGGCAAAGGAAGGTTGTATGGCTTCGAAGCACTGATACATAGTGATATCAAAATGGTTCCTTGTTTTTCTTTATTTTTTGTTTAGGTTCATAGGAAGATAGTGTTGTAAAATATCTCCATGAAGTCACGAAACTATGATCTAGATCAATGGCGGATGCACATGTAATTCCCATTAACTTTTTCAGCTGTTCGTAACGGTTCTATCTTGCTATGTTTCTCCAGAAGAATACGAGTATATGCTTTTGTGCAAACAGGCACTTGTATTGATTCCACTAATTTTGTGTCTTATGCGTTTGTTTCTTGAACATAATAATAATAATAATATGAAGGAGACTAATCCATACAAGAACAAACATTCTTGAATATCTGGAATTGTCACCAGTTATGCTTATCTGTTGAAAATGTTCTGGGCATTTCCCTTCGGGCTGGGAAGCTAGCCTATGAAGCAATGATCCGGACCGAGTATAGCTTCAATTGCTTTCACTCGGGTTGGAGTTGAGTTGAAAAGTGACCGAAACACTCTTAACTCTTCGGCTCGCTCTATATCTTGCGGTGAGCTATTTTTCTAGCAGTAGACGGCCCAATGCTGACATGCGTCTATATTCGGAGGGATAATAGAATATCTTGTTGACAAAAAAAATGGGGAGAACTGAGGTGCAAAGGTACTTTTGGTTTTCTTAAAATTTATATTCTCCGCATAAACTATAAATTTAAAAAAAATTAGGAGTTTTAAAAATATTATTAAATAGATTTAGATTTTTTTTAATTATTTAAAAATTAAATATTCTTATTAGCTTTGAATATTTATTTAAAAAATGAGTTGTCGCAAACCACAAGTTAATTAAGTATACAATCTTTAACAGTAATTCTCATGAACTACCAATAAAAAATTTTCTAAACCCTTTAAGGAGAGAGTGATTGTTATATATTTAAATATTAGCTCTTTTTTTTGTATTTAAGTGTTTATGTACTTTATTGCATTGTATAGAAAATAAGAGTCATAACATTCTATTTATAAAGAAATCTAAAAATCATATAAATAAAAAAATATTAATTTTACTTTTAAATAACATCACATATTATTTTAGGATAATTTTAAAAATTTATTCAATTAAGTCCTTGATTTTTTTAAATCTAGAATTATAATTTCGATGTATTAATTACATTCTAGTCCTTAATTTCTAAAACTTATTTATAATCAAGTCACATTTGATTAATTATTTCATTTTAATTTTTTTATTAATGTTTCTTATATGTGTGACCATTAGATTCCTTAATAAGTTAGCCTAAATATGAATTATAATATAAAATAAAATAAGATTAAATAAATTAAATAATTTAATATATTATCAATTCAACAATTGATTGAACTATATTTAAAGATCAAGTACAATACCTAATAACTTGTCATAATCCTTAAAATATTGAGAAAATCATAAATGGCTTGACTTGATCTTTCGGTGACCAGTTTTTTAATGTAATTATTATTCTTTCATTAAGAATATTTCTACTTAAACATTACAGCATAAAGTATGTCTTTTTTATTAAATTATTTTAGTTGTTAACTCTATAGTCATTGATTTTAAAAATAAGATTTGAAAATCAACATTAGTTAAGGATTTAACAATCAATACTATTTGAAAACAGATGAAACATTTTCTCTACTTCACCTAATAGGATGAACCTTCTCTTGATTACTCAATTACCTTAATGTAGTTTATGTTATACTTAATATCTATTTGTTTTTTACTCTTGATTAAGATAACGTGTAGTCATAATTAAAACATAACACTCCCTATATGAAATAACTTAGTAATTTCAAGTTCAAAGATCATTTACAAAACTATCATGTAACCTTTTCATAAATATAAATGATCTCTGCACATGAAATTTTCTTGTGGATCAATTCGATACACATATAATCTGACAAGTATTTGCATATTAGTTTCATAAAAAAAATAATATAATATGTATCGGTTTCAACAACTTTAATTAATATCCAGTTTTAATAGAACATTGATCAAGAATAATTATAAATAATATTTTGATGCAATGATAATTTTATAATTATGATAATTTTTTTTTGATGCAATGATAATTTTATAATTATGATAAAAAAAATTTATTTTTCTTGCAAAGCATTTTTATCTTATAAACTTTACATTTATTCTAGATTTATTAATTACATATAAATGAATATTAAAGTTAAAATAAATCTTTTTTAATAATAAATATATTTTATATGAATAAAATTAATATTATAAATTACCTGCATGTCATTTTCGCTCACAAATACTTCTCAGTGAATCGCATTTCATACCTTATCGTTTTCAACGTCAGCTACAATTTATGATAAAACTCAATATAATCTCTTCCCACGGGGTAAAATCCCAAAGCCAAGGGAAGGTCCTTTTCCTATTTTATTCTTCCATGTTCTTTTCTTTCTTGTCCTTTCTAAAGCTACAATTCATATATATATATATAATAGGAATGTGGTTCTCTTCTAAATTATTCAATGTTTTTTACATAAATACCCCTATTTGTTTTTAATATATTAAGTTGACTAACGTATCCTTATTTTATTTTTTTTATCAACAAGACACAAGTGTTTTAGGTAATTAAGATGTATGTGTTTGCTAGGATATACATTGGGACATTTAATATAATTTTTCTGTGATTTTAATCTAGTACCACAATGATTAATATAAAACACATGTTATTTAATTTGTTAGTGGATGTATTAATTTATTTGATAGTTATGGTTTATAAAGTTATATTAAACATCGAATCATTCTAATATATTAGTTTTAAATATAAGTAGTGTGTGTGTAAAGATAAACATTTTATTATAAGGATGAGATATTTTAAGTTTTAAGGATAAAATAGTAAACTGGTTATTTCTTAATAGGCTTTAATAATAAACCAATTACAATAAAGACATATTATTAGAAATTTTATTTTCCATCATATACAAATATCATATCTTCATAACTAGATTTCCGACAATCACATTCTAGATCATAACTAGATTTCCGACAATCACATTCTTTCTTTGTCTTAAATTCACACACTAAATACTCTCTAAGTATTAATGGGTGAGGTGCCACGTAACGGGGTTAAAAGTTTTTTTTGTAATTTTTATTTAAAAAACACTAAATTACTGTTTTTTTACATGATTTTTTTTATAATTTTATTTCATCATGCAAAAATATCTTTTTAGAAAATCAACTTGATTTCTTTCTAATTCAAAAATATTTAGTAAAAGCATTGAACCATAACACCCCATACAAATGTTGAAACATTAAGTAGATGAGTAAGGATTATATAATAGCAAATCATGATTTAAGATCAAAACTTAAGGTAGATGTAATTAAGAAAATAATTAACATATTTTGGCAGACCAAAGCATGAATGTTCGTGTCTTTGTGAGGTGAATGTTTCTTTTGAGACCATGAATGATGTCATTCTTTAATCATCCAAAGCAGAGAAGAGCATTTCTAGAGGTGCGCGTATGCGTGCATGCTTCTTCAGAAGACATAGCCCTGAAAGACTAATCAAATGAATAAATTTGCAGGTAGTTTAGGGCAAAGCTTAACTCAGTGTCAGAAACTTTTATTTTTTTTACCTTGGGCAGCAGCAGGTTTGTACTAACTGCTAGTGACCCATAATTTGAATTTTGGTGCTGAGTTAGGGGCTCGAAGCTGAAGAGAGCTGACCTCATGGAATGATCTTCATTTAACTGAGCCTGATCATTTTAGACCACAAATTACCATTCAACTCTCCTCTTGCTAGGCTTTTGGCAGAGGGAGACCCCTTTTTTTTTTTCACTTTGTGCATGCAGTTTTTGAATGTCCACACAAGGCAAGGCAAGAGACAGGAGTCAAATTGTACGCTAAAATGGTGGGATAGATTCGGCAATTAACATGTAAAATGTAAATAAATGATGGAATGACATATAAATAAAAAGTATGGGTGAAATAGTGTATTTTTAATTGATGTACGTTTTTTACGATGAAATTTTAATTAATGTTGCGGTTCTAAATGTGATATTTATTTAAATTTAGATTTAACTGATTGAATATTTTTTTTAAAACATAAAAAATTTATTAAAATTAAAATATCAAAGTGAGATTTTAAAATCTAAAATTTTGACAATCAGAATAATGATTCTGTAAAATAACTTCCAAGATCTTTTATAAAAATTTGAGCGTAACCCAATAATAAAATCAAAAGTTATGGTCATTTTGACTCATTATTTTAGTTTGGTATGACTAAATCTTCTTTTAGACCTAGGTCTATCTCATTGGTTTATAAATTTATTTTCTAAACCATACGTGTAATATGTTTGGAGTATATTCTCATCTAATTATATCATACCCATATATTTACTATTTGGAATCACTCGTAAGAACCACTATGTGAACAATAACTTTTTTTATATTTTAATTAGAGTTTCTTTTTGAATCTACAAGTTGCACAAAGATATATTTTGTTTACTTATAAAACATAATTGGAAGAAAAACTCATAAAATTCATAAAGCACGATATGTTTAAATATCGTTATTCTGAATTGTGATAATATAAAAATATGTTATATTTTTTAAATGGTATTATTCTACCAAAAGTTTTAATTTATTTTCCGTGATTCATGTTCTCCTCTCCTCCAAATCAATGGCAGCCATTGCTCACTAATAAGACATAAACCATAGTTATCAGACCCGACCTGGGAGTTGACCTGATCAAGAAGTTGGGTCCCAAGTTACATGGCTTGATCGAGTCAACTTGAATCAACCTGAAAAAATTAAAAAATATATTTGAAGTTTTAATACTTTATATTATAAATAATAAAATTTAAAATATTATTTTAAAAGATTTTTTATCCAATATTTAAAAAGTATTATGTTATTATACTATTTTTTTAAGTTGTAGTATTTAAATTAAAAAGATTTTTTATTACACATTGAAAAAATATAATTTTTTTTATTGTGAACAAAAAGTGTATATATTAAAGAGTTTTAAATCCTTGGAAAATAAAATATTCATTCAATTTTTATATAATAAACTTTAAAAATTGTTAATAATTAATTAAATATATATATATATATAAAAAGATGAGTCTTTAATTAGAAGGAGAAATACATTTAAAAAAAATTGAATCTCAACCAGGTTTTATCAAGTTTTTTTCATCCTAATCTTTTATTTTACTCCAACTAATTCAGTAATTGGATAAATTAAATCTTGGATAAACTTTCCAGATCGGTTCTAATTTAATAACTATCCAAGAAC